TTTGTTTATTATGGAAAAAACAAGATTAGTTATTTCTTTAGATTTTTCATTTATTTATTCTAAAGAAACCAACAATCACCACTGATAGAAAGATACCGCAGAAATACAATATATAGTATTTTGCTATACGTAGGGATCTACCAAATTCACAGCCATGAAAAACGCATCACAGATCGTGAAATCTGGTCTTTTGTGTGCTTTTACCCTATACTATACAGATTTCATGGGGGAGATCAGAGTTTCTGAAATTGGGGGTCCTGACCCAAAAAGGAGTTGCAGAAGGGTCACAAAGTTATTTTAGGGGGTTTGTAGTATTGCCACACTTACTTCTGCGCTGCCTTCAAATCTGGGCAGCTGGAGAGCAACGGCTGTTAGCCGAGCACCCAGTGTCCTGCCAGCAGCAGCGCAGAAGTAAGGGTGGCAATACCATACCATGCCACCCTTGCTTCTGAGCTGCTGCTGGTGGCGGCTCTGCCTGCAGAGCTGAGCTCCTGGCCAGCAGCCGCCACTCTCCAGCTGCCCAGCTCTGAAGGCAGCGCTGCTGCCAGCAGCAGCCAAGAAGTAAGGGTAGCAGTACCGCAACCCCCCCTACAATAACCTTGTGCCCTCTGCCCCACAACTCCTTTTTGGGTCAGGACCCCTACAATTACAACACAGTGAAATTTCAAATTTAAATAGAAGAAATCATGAAATTTATGGTTTTTAAATCCTATGACCGTGAAATTAACTGAAATGGACTATGAATTTGGTAGGGCCCTAGCTATACGAAAAAAGGTTGTGTATATCTTTTAATTGGGAGGAGGCTGGACTAAGTGACTAGGGGGACTTTAACATCTCTGACTTCAACTGTTAGACTTTTTGGAGACAGGTCTTCATGGATTTTAGTTTATACTGTAGATTCAGGTATTATGTGAGGACAAATATATACGTAACCTTGTGTTACTTTCATTATATCGCCTTACATGGCTACATGGCTTTGCATTGTTTGGATAGAGGCGCTATGTTGTGCTTATGGTTCTTATTGTTTATGTAGTAGCTTCAGAGTTTTGATAAACATTTACTCTAGTAATATTTGACTTCTTCTGCACCGCTTATACAACTCCCAATTACTTGTAGATTTAGCAGCAACTTCAATTAGTCACTTTAGCTCTGGCTTCATGATTTTAATCCACTCTGATTTATCAACCCAAAATTCTTTCTTATCAGGTTGTTCATCAAAAATCTCCTAACTAGGTCATATTATAGCTGCTATAATAAAGTTGTTAACTTAGTGGAAAACAGTCCAAAATGAATTAATTGCCACTCATACTATACAACAAATTTCACTCCGAAAGCATCCCTGGAATTCAGCATTAGTAATTCAACTGGGTTTCTTCTCTGCCTCCAGACAGATCTGCAAGAATCATTAGAGAAACAACATTATAGTATTTTTTTTTTTACCAATCTAGCAGTGCCTATACTGTCCCCTGCTACATTATACCTGGCCAATAAATGCATGAATACAAACTCTTTCTGCTGCTAAAAGTCAGCTAGAATATAAGACACAGGCCTGATCCTGTAAGGACAGGTTTGGTGTTTTGGGCATATCAGAGCAGGGTAAAAAAAAGTGAGGAACAGGACAGGGAGCACAAAGGGGAACTCTGTATTGCAATAATGAGGATGGTGCTGCACAGCCAGCAAGTGCTTTTTGCCTATCTGGAGTGTGGGCTAAGGAGAGAACACATAGCTAAGCGCCTCCTTTGCATGCTAAGTTCCCTCAGGCAAATCCATTTTCTCTTGTGCACTCTTCTGAGCATGGAAACAGGAATTTGAGGCTGACTTCTGTTCGGAGTAGGGTACTGTGCATACTGCAGCCCTCACTTGAAAGAGGCGTGTGCTTCCTGTTGTACATCATGCAAGGACTTGTAGGATCAAAGTCTTAGTATCAATCATTCTTAAATAAAAAATAAAATGTTACATGGAATACTTGTCCATTTGCTCCAAGTTGTGTAGCTGGTGTTTAGAAGTCAAGTGGCTCTTATTCTCCCTACTGGGATATTTTAAACAGACATCCAAGAGAGGTGGTTATTGTAGTCTGGCTGCTTAGGCCCTAATGAGGTCCAGTTACAAACATCTGGTAGGAAGCTATAACTGGAATTGCATTGTATGGGATTTGCAAATTACAGGAGAAATCAGAGGGGAAAGTTGGATTTACTGAAAGATTTGAGCTTCACTTCATCTGAGGTTCAGGCCATCACCTCGAAAATCTTAAACCTAGACACAATCTAAAAGTATTTAAATGCTAAAAGAAATCTCTTCTTGCTCTTTGTCTCATATTTCCATTCTTCATTTTTTTTCTAGCTTAGTTCATTTGAATTAGTGCGTTCTTATTACTTCTGGTACTTCTGTCCCACGTAGAGCAGATTCAAGCAGTGAGAACTACTGCCTCATGTTTGTGACTTTGGACACAATTTTCAAAATTGACCTGTGATTTTTTGGATGCCTGTAGTTTTCGGGTGCCCCATTTGAGACACTTCCAACGGGACTCTATCTTCAAAAATTGCAGAGCACTGGCCTCCTTAAAAACAGACCTCACAAGATATCAGATATACCTAAAACTGAGTACCCAAAACTACTGGGCACTTTGGAAAATCTTGGCCATCAGCTTTTCTTGTAATATGGATTTTTCCCATCTTGCTTCTCCTCTCTCCCTCCACCCTTTTCGTTTGCCTCCTCTCCTCTTTGTCTTTCATCTTGACTGCCATCTTTCCCATTCTCTCTGCCCTTCCTTCCCATTTCACTTCCTCCTCCCATCCTTTCTGCTCTTTTCTACATCACCTTAATAATAATACAAATGCATATAATCCAATATTTCTTGTAGGGTACCTTGGAGTAATGAGCTCTCCATCCTTCCCCTGGCTTCCTGCTTCCCACGGTGTTGGGACCACTCTCATCACTGTTCCCACACTGCGGTGTCTGTTGTTGAAATGCTCCTTGCGACTGATGGGAATGGAGTGTTGACTGGACTCCCAGCACTGTAGGCAGGGCTAGATAATTGTCTAGAGTGACTTTTTCAAGTTCTGCACCTTCCCCCCATACATTGAAAATGGTAAACAAGCATTGCTTAGTTCAAATACACCTATGTTAAATACGAATGCATTTAGTATGAAGAGAAAAGATTAGTGTAAATGTGTTTTGGCTAATACCCATTTTGGAGGTTATATCTTACAGCCTTCAATTTAATACAATGGATGCTTATTTAATAGTTGTTTTCCAGGTCACTTCAGAAGATTAGAATCAGATTGATAATGTGAATTAGGTTTTATTTGTTCCCAAAGAAAGGGGAATTTAAAAAAAACAAATTTATGTATAATTTTGTTCATTGTCGCTTTTGATAGTGAAATACTAATATGAATTTGTTTAAGATTATTATAACTGCTGCTACTACTATATTTTTAGTACAACTGATACAAATATGTATTACATTAGCAAAAAAATAAAGTCAAATGTATGGTTTGGGGAATTTAAAAAAAAAATTTATTCTTCAAAGTTGGACCCCTTGACGGCAAACCATTCTGAGGGCTGTAAAACAAAATGATTAGTCAAGTAGTTTGTCTTCATTTCCATATAACACAGCCACAGGTATGTGTGTCAACCTGGATGGGATTCACTGCCAAATGCACATTTATAAATTCCTATTCTCTCTCAAAGGTGCCTTTGTTATTTGTGCAGAAAATGGTGATTCATTATCCTTTTTATGAGAAAGTTACTAAATCATAAATATTAAAGTACAATAGAACAGAGTGTCATCCCATTACATCTTTGTCACTAATTACCACCTCTGATATGCACTTGACATATCATTGTGACATACAGTAGTATTTAAAAGAGGATAGAGTGCGATTATTTCATATAAACTTTATAGTCCAAAGCCTTCTCAAGAAGAGTACTCAAAGCAAGTGAAGGTCCTGGGATCATACACTTCATCTGTTTTCAATAACCCCAAAGCTAGATTGTAACACCTGGCGAATATATTCCCAGGCGCAGCAGTTCATTAGCCTGGAGTTAAGGTTGAATGAATGTATCATTTATATCTGCCAAAAGGTGGCGGGATGGGGGAGGAGTGGGAAGACTTCAGTAGCCTCAAATGCAAATGTCAGCCAGGAAATTCCAACTAACAGTTCTGCTTTACAGAAAACCCCCAGAATATTTGAAAGTGTTCAGATGCACATCTAGGGTCATGGTTGTTTACATAATAATTCTGCCCTGTAGTGCCATCCTGATAATAATGAGAAACCCAGAGACTACTTTAGCCTTCCTTCACACAGGTTCATGTCACTAGTCACCACAAACAACATGAATACACATTAAGACTGAAAATGCACTATGACTGCTGGATAAGGTAATAGATAAAGTTTGTCTCGCTTGACTTTCTCGTGGTTCTCATAGTGGCACTGTGGGGCAGAATGGATTCTCTTTCCAAATATTTGCAGCATGTGACAGTCCAATGTGCTTATCTAGCCACGAGAGTGTATGAAGTGGCTGTTAAGGTTTGGTGTTGGAGTACAAGTTGGATAAAGTTGGGGTATTGGCTGCTTTTTTGTTATCTGTTGGAGATGGAAGTGAAATCTTAATGGAGTGTTAGAGTGTGTTATTCACAGCGGTGTGGGCAATATGAATTAATGCAGCATACTTTTCTCTTTAACGTCATATTTCCATGGTTTTTAAAAGTATAGTAAGTGTCTCTTCCAAGCTCACTCCCCATTTTGCCTCTGGAACAATGAATCAAGCTCACTTCTCTCATTGGAGAATTGTTATGCTTTCCTCAGTCTCACTTGCATGGACTGCCCAAAGCCACTAACGTATAGGGCATAGGAACTGCACCTCTGAAACCCATTGCCCCAGCTCACCTCTGACTTTAATAGCCGTACTTTAGCCCAAAGAGTCTACGATGGAGGAAGATTTGCTTTTGTTTCTTACTGTAAAATGTAGCTGTAATATATTAAAACCTTTTATTTCAGACTTCCAAAAAAATGGAGCAGCAGCCGAGCCTTTGCTCACAGCTCTCTGTGATGCAGATGAGAAACAGCATGGCTAGTTCCAGTGACAGTGAAGATGGCTTGCAGCAGTTTCTTCGTGGGTCTTCCACCGCTTCCTCTCTTCGTGAGTCCTCAAAAAAAGTGAAGCAAATCTTGGGCCCAGCCTTGTGGTCCATTAAGGACAATTGCAGAACTTCTATTGACTTCAGTGGGAGCAAGATTTGGGCCATTTGTGTGTTGCTGTAAATAAATGGAGCTTTTGTACTAAGCTGTAGAGAAGTTGAGACATTGTATAGTGGCTTTGGATGGCAGCCAAATCTACTTCATTTAAAAATTAGGGAGTGTTACTAATACTAGAAATAATGACCTATATTATAATGTCTTAGATCTATAATATCAAACAGATATAATATTTGAGAAAGAGAGGCACATCACATGTGTAAACAACACTGAAAGTTTCAGTAATTATATTCAGTATAAATACACGAATCGTGTACAGACGGGCTACAGCCTCTAGCTGCATCTAAGCTGCACTGGACAGAGCTTGGTGCAGGGTGAGCAATGGTAGTTTTATGTTACCTTTACAAGCTCTTTGATGCTGGGGCTGGTTTGGCTCATAGTACAATTTAGAGCAGCCTCAGGGCTGTCCTACATTGTGCTGGCTGTTAATGCCTATGAAGAGTCATTGTCAGGGACCATCTTTTTGTTCTCCGTTGGTCCAGTGCTTAACATAAAGGGGCCCTGGTCCATGACTAGGTCTCCTAGGGTTCGTCTACACAGGAAAAAAAAAAAAAAAGAGAGACCCAAGGCAGTGAGCCTCGGAACCCAGGTCTACTGACTTGGGCTCGTGCTGTGGGGTGAAAAATAGCAATGCAGACTGTGACGGGTTGGATCACAGAAACCCCCTTGGGAGCTGCCACCCAATGTACCAAGACTACCCCTGTTCCTGTTTTTCCTGCCAGCTCAGGACTCCAGCACCCTGTCTTGCTGAGCCAGACACTCCCATCTGCTCCAACACAGACCTAGGGTCTCAATCACTTGCCCCAAAGCTGCAAGTTTACCTGAAAACAGCTCACAGAAGTGTGCTTGTCTCTAGCACTCAGATGCTCAACTCCCAATGGGGTCTAAACCCAAATAAATCCGTTTTACCCTGCATAAAGCTTATGCAGGGCAAACTCATAAATTGTTTGCCCTCTATAACACTGATAGAGATATGCACAGTTGTTTGCTCCCCCAGGAATTAATACATACTCTGAGTAAATTACTAAATAAAAAGTGATTTTATTAAATACAGAAAATAGGATTTAAGTGGTTCCAAGTGGTAACAGGCAGAACAAAGTAAGTCACCAAGCAAAACAAAATAAAATGTGCAAATCTATGTCTAATCAAACTAAATACAGATTATCTCACCCTCCGAGATGCTTCAGTAAGTTTTTCTCAGACTGGACACCTTCCAGGCCTGGGCACAATTCTTTTCCCTGGTACAGCTCTTGTTCCAGCTCAGGTGGTAGCTAGGGGATTCTTCATGATGGCTCCTCTCTCTCCTTTGTTCTGTTCCACCCCTTTATATATCTTTTGCATAAGGCGGGAACCCTTTGTCCCTCAGGGTTTCCACCCCTCCTCACTGGAAAAGCACCAGGTTAAAGATGGATTCCAGTTCAGGTGACATGATCACATGTCACTGCAAGACTTCATTGCCCACTTGCCAGCATACACATATACAGGAAGACTCACAGGTAAACACAGCCATCTGCGGATAATGGTCCTTGTTAATGTGAGTCATCAAGATTCCAAACCATCATGAATGGCCCACACTTTACATAATTACAATAGGCCCTCAGAGTTATATTTTATATTTCTAGTTTTAGATACAAGAGTGGTACATTTATACAAATCGGATGATCATACTCAGTAGATTATAAGCTTTGTAATGATACCTTACAAGAGACCCTTTGCATGAAGCATATCCCAGTTACATTATATTCACTTATTATCATGTTTTTATAAAACCATATAGACTGCACAACGTCACACAGACATTCAGGCTAAGGCTGGAGCCCGTGTTCTGAAGCCCAGCAGGAAGGGAGGGTCTTGGATCCCGGGCTCCAGCTTGAGCATTAACATTTACACTGCTTCACAGTGCGAGCCTGAGTCAGTTGACCCAGGGTCTGAGTCTCGCTGCCGATGGGTTTTGGTTTTTTTTGTAGTGTAGACATATCCTAAGGCACTTAAATACTACTGATAATTCTGCTCTCCAGGAATTGCCAGAGCACAGCAGCACTCTGGTCATGCTCTTTCCTCCTGCCATACCCTTTATTGCCGATAGAGGGGGCTGTGACACAGAGCTAACAATGCCTGCACTGTGTCACATGGGAAACTGTCTTTCCAACTGCTCCGAACCCCTAGAGCAGCACAAAGTAGGTGGAATGGGGAAAGCCAGGATCAGGCTCTGTGTTTTTGCATCAGGATCTTATACCTTATAGAAATCTTTTAAATAACTCAATTTAGTTTGGCTTTTTTCTCTTTGTGTTACATGTAGAACTATAGGAAGTTTATTGGAGCTGTTTTAAAGACACAAAGTCTTACACAAATCAGGAATTTCTTTGCTTTTTTCCAAATACACATTTTAGATCCAGATTTTTTTTATTAAAAAACAATTTCTTATAATCATCAGGTTCCATGATCATACTATATTACTTGTTTTCAACATATAGAATCTAACAAATTTTGCTTAGTAAAATAGGCTCCTCTCATACTCCAATATTTACATTCACCCAAAATAGTTTATCAAGTGTACTTGGGTTATATGTGTTCATTTCAATACTTTCCTTTTGTCTCCCACTTAATTTAAATAAACTTTAGTAATAATTTTAACCTGAAATCAGATTTTGAAAAAAAAAAAGTACATGTGCCAAACCCAGCTGGCACAGGCTCTTAATTCTGCATGGCCCCGTTAAACTAACTATTGTGGCTCTCATGATCTCACTGTTTACCTGTTAGGATCTCTTATATATATATATATATATATATAAACTTGTCAGTGGTCCACCAATACTAAATGTATCTCTTTCTAATATGTAAAAAAAACCAGATGACTTAATTTTTATTTAACCCTAAGGCACCACCTTAATTATCCATTCTCCACTGTCTCCCTTACAATTCTTATTCAAGCCTCCAGATTTGGAGAGTCCTTTTCTTTCTAATTTTTGCCAATGATTTATATCTATATTCAAGTATCAAAGGGGTAGCCGTGTTAGTCTGGATCTGTAAAAGCAGCAAAGAGTCCTGTGGCACCTTATAGACTAACAGACGTATTGGAGCATGAGCTTTTGTGGGTGAATACCCACTTCGTCGGATGCATCTGAAGAAGTGGGTATTCACCCACGAAAGCTCATGCTCCAATACGTCTGTTAGTCTATAAGGTGCCACAGGACTCTTTGCTGCTTTTATATCTATATTGTCATCACAGTTATAGGAGCACAAGCCCTAGGAGTGTTTCACCCTGATTGTTAGAGGGTGACTGACAGGATGTCATTTTGGGAGGGTTAGCGGCAGGTCAGGTTTGATTTTCTTAATTTTCCTATGATATTTTTTCCAGAAAGTCCTGGTTTTGGGGGACATTAATATCTGAGCTCTCCCACATACAACTTCCCCTCTTTCCTATGTAGGAAACAGCTTGATTATATTTGTGCAATTGGGAGACAGTCATGGGCAGTTTGGAAGAGAACTTCACTTCCAGCTAACAGCTTCAGAGTGTTTACTCCAGTATTTCAACATTGGGAGAAACTAATCTAAAGGCTTGCAATTTTCAGAAATAATATTAATCCCCATTTATGATAAACCTGAGCTTAATAATACTTGGTAAAGTCCTCTTCTCTATTGTATTCCTGCTATTCCATCTCTTTGTTTCTCTCAACAAGATTTCTTTGTGTTAGTTAAAGTGTCTGAGCTTCCAAAACTGATAGAAGGGGATTAGCTGTCTCATTGATATGCAGTGATATGAATTAAATTCTTTGCCTAGACAGCTGGGCAGTCTGTTACCCCTATATAACACTGTCTATATGACACACTTCCACTGTCACAAGTTAGCATTGCCTGAATGTAGGTATTGAGATAGAAGATTTAGCCATGGCTCTCTTTCCCTCAGGTCCCAAAAGCAATCTGAACAAAAAGGTGGACATTTAGCTTTCCACGTTTATGTTTCAGATAGCCCTGTCGCACCAGTAGGTGCAGCATATTCAATAATTGCTTTTCAGACTAGTCCAATGACGTATGCCAGTATGCCTCCAATTGTGGCATAAATGTACCAATATTGAGTTCCCCTTCCAGCTGCAGCCTAGAGCATAAACCAATGTACTTTTTTTTAGTAAAAACAAACAACAGCAGCAAAACCCCCAACAGATTATTTAGAGAAGGGCAACAAGTGAAAAGCAAGTGTCTTCTGCCACAGGAGAAAACAATAAAAGGGCGCTTATCTGGATAAGGCTCTGCATAAATTATAATATCTTATGTGACCAGTTCTTGTGTAGACAAAAGCTTCCCAGTACAAAGATCTGATTATTTTTGGCTACTACAATGTAGAAAAATCCTACTCTCCAAAGTTTCATGTACTTACTGGAATACACTTGTAAAAACTAGAACTTCATCTTTTGAATGCGTTGAAGGAATTTTTTTTGTAAGTTATGACTTTGCTGCTGTGCTCCAAAAATATAAATTCTCTAATACATTTCTAAAAAGAAATCCACATAAAGACTTTAGCAAAGTTGTATAACAGGAAGAGGGGAAACATTCTTGCTAATAGAACCAATCTACTCATGTACTAATAAACTGTGATTTAAGTTTAAATAACTAAAAACAAAAAACTAACTGTCTGCTTTTATATTAAGGAAATAACCAACAAGAGTTCTATAATACTTATGGAGTGGGTCGTTTGCAGCATGATGTTTTCTGTTGATAACATCACATATTAACCCAACATCCTCAAACAGGTATTAAAATGAAGTTTGCTTATGCCAGGTTGGTACTTATACTTGAAATACACAATGCATCTGTGCACAAGTTATTAGTAAATGAAACTGTGAAGTAACATTTTAAAAAACATAAGTAAGTGCAAAAAGTGAGTTGGAGCAGACAAATAATTTCAGCTAATTTTATCTTTGATGGTGTTTTAGTGTTATTGCTATAAAATAAGCCTAATGGTTAACAGTAATTAATATGCAGGGTGATGGAGTCTCTTTAAAAAAAAAATAAGTATCTGGTTTAGCTTATTCAGGAGTGTTGCTGGTCTCTACAAATTCTGTATTTGCAACCCTCTAATGTCTCTAAGGTCTAAGCTAAGGAGGAAGGTAGTATGAGGATTTCTTTTCAGTAATGCTTTCATTGGTATTACTCAGTATGTTCAATGTTATACCCAGCTTGTGGTTAACAGCAGGATTGGGTTTCACAGGAAATACCTTTTTTATAAGCATTTGAACTTAGGAACTGGAGACAGTGCAATAGACTACTGTATTGGAGGCTCAGGTTTGAGGCTCATTCAGGCTTTTGTATGTCCTCCTAACAAAGGATAGAGGCATGCCTAGATGACTCTTCAGCATTTGGAGGAAGCAAGGGCATGACAGTGGTGCAGAACATAGGCGCCAACTCCCTGGGTGCTTCGGGGCTGGAGCACCCATGGGGGAAAAATGGTGGGTGCTTAGCACTCACTGGCAGCCCCCCTATCAGTTCCTCCCCCTTCCCCCAGCGCCTCCTGCCCGCAGGCACGCCCTGCCAATCAGCGCCTCCTCCTCTCTCTCTCTGCACCTCCCGCCCACCACAATCAGCTGTTTTGCGGCATGCAGGAGGCTGAGGGGGAGTGGGAGTAGGAGCGAGGATGTGGTGCACTCGGGGGAGGGGGCAGAACTAGGTGGGAAGAGGCAGGGTGAAAAGAGGCGGGGCGGGGCCTTGGGGGAAGGGTGGGCTGGGGGCGGGGCCTGGGACAGAGCCAGGGGTCAAGCACCCCCTGGCACTTTCGAAAGTCGCCTTCTGTGTGCAGAAGAAATTTACAGTATGAGAGCAGACTGCTAACTCTGTTCAGCAGGCTTGTGCCACCGTGCTTCTGACTACTATGGAGAGACATGGGCTCTTCTGAACAAAGGAAAATCATCTTTGCTCATATCACCCTCAAAATTAACAACAACTACTAGTGACATCTAAAAATGAAATTGAAACTTTAGGCCTAAATTTTCAGGCCTCAGTTTTTATGGGTGTAATTTGTGCCCGCTATGTAGGTCACTCAGATATCTAAATCCATAACTTCACCCACAAATCTCAGATTTAAACATCTCAGGGTATGTCTACACTGCAAAACAAACAAACAAACGAAAAAATAACCACCACCACCCATGGCAGCGCGTCTCAGAGCCCAGGTCAACTGATCAGGGTCAGGCTACAGGGCTCAACATAGCAGTGTAGATGTTCCCACTTGGGCTGGAGCCGGGCTCTGAAGCCCAGTAAGGGTCTCAAAGCCTGCGCTGCAGCCTGAGCAGTACTCTCTATACTGCTGTTTTTAGCCCCATCGTGCAAGTCCATGTCAGTGGACCTGGGCTTGAAGACTCACGGCTGTGGAGTTTTCGTTGCAGTATAGATGTATCCTACGTGGCCTAACCTGCACTTGCAATTTTTACTAACAAAAATAAGTATCTGAAAACAAGGCCTTTGTAGTCCCTGTATTTAATAATATACAGACTAATCTCTGTATAAAGCCAGCTGAGAAAGTAGTTTGTAAATACGGGGGGGGGGGGGAAATAAAGTATTGCATAATACATTTACTACCTGTGGTGTTCTAAAAGCATTAATTAATACCCTCCAGTGTTTGCATGAGTGTAATTTTTAAATCTGAACACAGTAATGCAAAGCATATACTTGAATTGTAAGCTCCTCGGGACAGAGACCATCTTTCTCTTCCGTCTTTGTACAGCACAAAGCACCATGGGGTCCTGGTCCATGACTAGGGCTCCTAGGTGCCATGGTAATAAAAATAAAACATTAATTATTGCATAGATGATGGATTGAAGTTTAAGTAGTTTGTGCAATAAGAATGTCAGTTTACTAACTGTATGTTATGACTGCAAAGATTCTTGAAGGGAAATGTTTTTCTTATCTGCATATATAGAGATAGAATCTGGCTGGCATGACTGTTTGTCTTTTACTGTTTTTCTTCTAGGATAATATTTTAACATTTGAAAGATTTTCATACTGTTTTCAGTCATCATATGCAGGCTGTTTATAAACTCTGACAGTCCAAAGCCTGCACCAGTTAGGAATGCAGGACTGCTGAACTCTTAGGGAACTGAGAGAAGACAGGGAGTTAAATACAATTTTCAGATTGGAGGGCAGAGATTTACCTGTCAAACACGGTTGGGTGACCAGACAGCAAGTATGAAAAATTGGGACGGGGGTGGGGGAGGTAATAGGAGCCTATATAAGGAAGAGACCCAAAAATCAGGACTGTCCCTATAAAATCGGGACATCTGGTCACCCTAGATGCGTGTTAAGGAGAGTTATGAAACTAAATCCCCTCAACAATATGTACTCATATAGACTCAAATCTCGAAGGCCATTCTCAGGCAAAATGCCCATTAACTTCCAACTGAGTGTGTGCTTCTGTGTGCACTGCTTTAGAGGGTTTTATTCATTGCTGCTTTGCCTGAAGGCTGCCACCTACTGCTAGAGCAGTGAACCAATTTCAGTCATTGGCTTCATGGTGCATATTATTTAGCCCTACATTTGTTAATAACATAACATACGTGTTTTTCATTACAGTTGTTTATGCAGTGGGAGTTACATCTCACCCCTCCATATGTTTTATCCCATGTTGTTGCTTATGAGGCACTGGAGCTATGATCAGTTACTCTGGCTGAGATCTGCCCGAGTAAACTTAAGAATTTTGTCATGACTTTGTGCCCTGAGGCGAGTACTCAAAGATACCTTCTGTGCTTAAGTCATCCTTCGATTTCTTCGGGCCAATTCTTGGATGAATACTGCAATAAGAAAAATACCTATCGGGAACACAATTCCCCGAGTAAGAAGTGCAGAAAACTCCCATTGACACAAAAGGAGTTTTTCCTGAGTATGGACAGTAGCATTTGGCCCTAAAATATTATAATGATTCATATCCCCTTTACCTGGCATCCATGATTTTCTGATGCTATAGTACAGATGTCAGATTAATTGACTTTAACCGGGAAAATATAAATTCTTAACAGTTGGGAGAATCATCAGATTTGCTGCGTCCTTATCACAAACGTGTCTGTATGACGGGGGTGCATTCTTCAGTTTAACTTTTTTCTTCTCTTTGAAATTATGGCAGGCCATACATCTCCCTATATGAGAACTTCGGCAAAAATGAAACCAATAGAAGAAAGTGGTGAAGATGATGTCTTTGAACTACCCTCTGTTGTTCAGCCTGAAGTTCACTGACTGCCTTGAGTAGACGGTCTCGAACATCCAGGGACGCTGTTGACATGGCAAAAGCAAGAAGCTTATTCTGAAGCAATTCTGAAAACTATCAGCACCCTTTACTTTCAGAGAATTATACTACAATATACCTGTGTTAGTGGCTTCTAGATAAAGATGCCAAGTTTTATTTATTCTCCTTAAAAATTTTTTAAAAGGCAGGATTTTTGAATGGGTGTATTTTTTCTTTGGCCCTCTGCCGAGTTAAATTCAGTTTTAAGCAACAGACTAGTCTGAAATTTTATTTGATTATTGAGTACCATTTGCAAAATCAGCCAAGTCCCATTTTTCTAAGCCACTTAGGAGCTTAAGTCCCAGTGAAAGTGAATGGGAATGTTTGAAAATTTGACCCAGTATCATTTGTACCTAACACCATAGTTATTAATATTGCAATTTCAAAATGAAGTTAATACACATAGTTTTTGTGTGTGCGTGAATGTATGTTTCTATTTTACACAGAGAAAACAATTTTAAAAGAACATTCAAGTTGCAAAGTCAAGCACTCCAAAGTTAAGAAAGGCCAGTATTAAGTTTCCCGTGCAACCTATATTTGGCCCCCTTATGTGTATGCATTATAATGCAATTTTTAATTACATGATCACATTGTTTTCCACAAGAATTTGGCAAAATGTATAGATTTGACACAAAGGCCATCCTTCTGCCAAATTTCAAGTCTCTGCTCTAATGCATGGGGGTTCTAAAGCATCTTAAAAAAAAGTCACTAGAATTTTTAAACATGGCCAAAATAATGTATTTTTCCCTAGTTTTGTTCTTGGAAATAGCTGCACCATTTTGGCTAAAGTTTTCCAAAGTAGTTCTCCTGAGAGAGACACCTATTATGGGAAATTTCAGCCCAAAGAGTTATAGTTTGGCAAAATTATAAGTAGCTGAAAAAAGGGTCTCATAATGGGAAGTGTTGGGCAGCCTTAATAATAGGTGGCACTACCAGCTCCACCTATAGTGTGAGCACATGAATAAATAAAATCAACGTATTTGTCACACAATAAGTTGTATTCATTGTCAAAGAGCATAATGGCAGATACAACAGTCTATGTAACAATTTAAGATGACAGAATGCGGAGACTAGAATATGACAAATAATGAGATTGTGGATAACAGTCGGAGTCTGGCTTTTTTACTGATTTTTTACTGTGATCATCGTCCTAGTATTGGCAGTGAAGTTAAGCCTAAGAGTGTCCTTGAATCAGCCTGTGCCTATGGTATAAAACAAATCTGTTTTTACACTGTTCTGAAGCTCTTGCAATGCCAAAGCACAACACTGTTTTTGTGGTTTTAAATTCAATTTTTAATGTTACTTCAGTGTGTCTTGTGGTTTTTGTTTTTTGCATATTAAAAATTCTCATTGAGGTGAGCCATAGTTACCAGTTTATGTAAATATATGTTAAATACATTTTACATCTCACATCATGTATGCAGTAGAGCACGCTGGCCCCTTTTGGAGCAGAGGTAATTTATCATATAACTTCACTGTTTGAGTTTTGTAAAAACCTTTATTTACCTTGTAGACAATAAGAGCTCCTTTTGGAGCCATTGCCATCTCTTGTATAAAGTACTTAAACCAGTTATAAAGATACAGATCTGATAAAAATCTACCGTTGCTAGGTATAAGATCAATGAGTGTTGTGTGGTACTAGCATTATCAGCATTTAAGACAAACTTAAAGACATGAAAAAGGTTATGCCACATTTATGGTGGCTGATTGTCAAATGTCAATAACTGGACAGCATTACCTTTTTAAAAGAAAATACTGTAGATAGCCAGAGGACTTGATATATGTTAGGGACAAGTCTGCAACATTTATTTTCTAAACAATAAAAGTGTGTGAGTTAAATGAGCATTTGAAATTTGTAACTCCTACATTTTTGCACCAATACTAAGTGGGGAGGATTGGGTGGGGGATTGGGTTATTTTGGTGTGTAGAAATTTACTCAGAAAAAAGTTTGTCTAGCATGAACTTTTATAGGAAGTTTTCAGAGAAGAGTTTGAATGGAAATGCTGCTAGAGACTCTTTAATTACAGCAGGGATGGTGCACTGAAAATGAATATGGATGATCCCAGGAATATGACGGTATCCAGAACTTCGAAGTTCTTAGCTTAAAATACAGCCAGTCTCAATAAACACAAATATTTCATCCACCCTTTTTTATCTTTGTTTTTGAGATTTCTTTCAGTCGGTTTGGTTGTCAAGTAGCCATGCAGCCAACTGATGAGGGAGTTAGGGATTGGGGTTCAGATGCTTAGCTTGCTTGTGGGCTGGGAACATTTGCCAGCAGCAGGCTCAGCCTCCTCAGTGGGAAGTCGTGTCTTTCATGTTTAAGTGACTCCTCTGGATAAAAATGCCTCCAGCTCTCCTCGGCCAGAGGAAGAATCCCCAGACCACATGAGCTTTGAGGGGCAGGGCTAAAAGGGAAGAGCAAAATAAATGTAGTTCAGATAAGGCTATTTTTATTAAAATTGGTATTCATATAAACAAATCCATTGTATTTAAATACTAAAAACTAAGTAAGATCATGGTGAAATATAGTGTGAAAACTGTAGTCTGTTTTTCCATAACACATGATTATCATAAGCTACACAGTGGCCTGGTCTACACTAGAGGGGGGAATCGATCTAAGACACGCAACTTCAGCTACGAGAATAGCGTAGCTGAAGTTGACGTATCTTAGATCGACTTACAATCGCTTACTTCGCGTCCTCGCGGCACGGGATTGACGGCCGCCGCTCCCCCGTCGACTCCGCTTCCGCCTCTCGCTGTGGTGGAATTCTGGAGTCGACGGCAGAGCAATCGGGGATAGGTTTATCCACGTCTACACTAGACGCGATAAATTGATCCCCGATAGATCGATCACCCGATCTGGCGGGTAGTGTAGACGTACCCAGTGTGAAGGAACGATAACAAAATGCTAATGTCTCCAGAGAAAAGTCGGTCACTTTAAGCAGAGTACTATGACACTGGCAGCTTAGCAGTTACCAAATTAAAGAGGAAATTCAGTAGTAAAATCCTGATAAAGTAAAAAATGGATCCTTCAATAAGTACTCTGCAGGCACATCCTTGCTTCCGCAGAGAGCCTGTTGTAGAACTGAGGCCTCAGGAAGTCTCTCTCTCTCCAGGCATGAGAGATGGCAATTTCACAAGCAATGTTCTGGAGAGATCTTCACACTACACATTCATAAATCATTTTCCTGGAATCTCAGAGAATGAAATTTTGGTGACATGCTTTTATGTTATTACTAGAAAGAACAGTAACAGTTATTCCAATTATTGGTAGTCATAGGAAATGTTGGTTGGACTGAGTAAAATGTCTTTCCTCACTCGTGCAAAGCTAGTCACAGCTGTTTCTGATTAGAAAGGAATGAGTTCTTAGTACTTAGGGGATGAATAAGGGAAGACAAACTGTCTTCATTAATTAGTCCTGACATTTAAACTTCCTGAAAGCATGATAACATGAGAGTCACTTAGAGATTTCAGAGAGGCAATGCTAAAACAAAACGTTATCTGAGTATTCAGCATTAACAAGGTAAAGTCTACACACTTCTCACCAGCAACAAAAGTATACAATTATACAACGGTTTGGAAAAAATGGCACAATTCTATTGGCTGTTAGCTGTTTTGTCATTACTTTAAACCAATGGCTTTTCAATTGGTATGATTATAATCACTATATGCTTAGTAAACACAATTCTAAAACTTATATAAGGGAAATTGGGGGCCTTCACAGTAACCATATTTTAAAGCACGAGATTTTATCTTTGATCACAGATACAAAACCTTTTGGAAAATCAAAGTAAATTATGTTCCTTTAATACAAGGGTGTGAATGCACACACACCGATTGGCTAAAGAACTCTAAGAGCTAGATCCGCAGAAGGAACGGAGATGTTAGGTGTTGCAATGCGTGCGTCTAGGTCCACACCTGTGAGTTAGGCACCCAGGTTCCCTAGACAATGCCTGGACGGCGTTTGGCAGCTAAGAATGGGATCTCCAAAAGTGAGCAGGGAGCTACCTAAGGTAGCCATTAGGAAATGCTAAGGAGGGACTTAGGTACCTATGTCTGGGCTGGAGAGAGGCACCTCCCTCTGCTTGGGATTCACAGCCACAAGCCCTTTCCTGGAGTTAGGTGTTTAAACTCTTTCTCAAAAAACATTAAAAAAAATTGGGGTGGTGTCACTGCATGCCACTCACTCCTTTCCCTGGATAACTGTTAGTCCAGGGGTGAGAGCACTTACCCAGGATAGGGGATATCAGAGTTGAATGCCCTAACCCTGTGCTATGGGGTGGGTCTCTTACTCTCTCCTGTTAAGCTGTTCCACTGTGTATAACTAATTAAATATTCATTGGGCCACAGAGAGAGAGGGGGCAAGCACGAGCACATGTGACTCTATAGCCCAGTGGTGATTGCACTCCTGGGTGAGGTGGGAGACTCACCTTCAGATCTCTTCACCACATAAAGCAGAGGGGGAAGATCGCAACCCAGGTCTGCCTGGGTGAATGCGCTAACCGCTGGGTTAGTCAGGAGGTAACAGCAGTTATGTTCTGTACAAAGCCTGATCTGGAGCATGCTTACTGAGTCAGGTCTTGCAGGTGAAACAACCAGGGCCTGATCCTATGTTGAGGGTTGAGCTGGGCTCAGGCATGAGCTATGCACCTGGGAGCCAGGACTGAGGCTGCTGTGCACATGTCCAGCAGCAGCAATGTAGGTGCCTGGGAGATTTACCAGTGGAAACTTGGGCACCTAGGGAATTTAGGTGGCTGCAGGGCTAGCCAGCAGCTGAATGGGGGTATAGAAGACCTAAATTTTGGACTTAAACACTGACATCTCATTGTGGATTTAGCTCTAAGAGCTTATACAGTGGTCACTTTCTTTTACAGAAGGCCCATGGGAAGATTTGATCAGCACACACTGACTATTCTATCCTGAGACATTCAGTCAGTTTGCCTAGAATTGAGGTGAAGCTTGCCCGTCTGCAAATCAAGATTGTCCTGGGCTCTTTTTTGAAGCCAAATAACAGTAGCAACTTCGATTTTCAGGACAGCTGATTTTAAGACTTAAGGTTGAAATTCATCCCAGTACAGGCCAGCACAAGACCCTTCCCACATCTTAAGCCCCATATTAAAGGCTTAAGTGATAAGTAGGACCTTAAGTGGGCCCTCTGCACTTGGGCAAATTTTACCTGTATTGCATATCCCCAGATAGCTTTGCTATCAGATCTCTCAGAATAATACCATCCGGTTACTGTAATTTACAGCACTTGAGTTTCTCAGGCTGCTCCTTAACTTCCTCCTTAGAGATTAATATCTATTAAGGCCACATCCTGATTTCCTGTGCAAAGTGCTTTTGGGAGAAGAATTCCCCATCATCCTTTATAGTAAAAGGAGTGATGAAGTGAAGCCTCTTGAAATGTGTCCACTTACAAACTATTGTGTCACCTTCCTTCATTCCTAATACTTTGTGCTGTGTTTTATTTCAGAAAACTAAGGAATCTCATAATGCAATAGTAAATTGTCTGCCACAGGTAGTATGACAGGATAAACAAATCTTCAAGGCTAATTGAATTTTAAAGTATTTTTCCCTCTTTATTTTTTAAAACAGGCCTTCCTCCCCTGCAGTTTTGCAATACACTTTTCTTGTTTTGTTTTTTTAATTCCTTCTTCCTAGTTGTTGTGTAAAAGGCTTATGTAAACACTAGGGGAAATGATTTATTACACAAGGACACAAACAGAATTGACTATAGACAATCCGCTTGCAAAGGCACAAAGCAAACAAATTAAAAATAAAATTCTGGAACTTGTCACAATGGTAGGTAAAACACTTTCAATCAGAAGAATTTTTAAGATGAGGATGTCAACTACAGAGGGAACAAAACTTGGACAGTTCTCCAGCTTTCTCGCTTC